TCAGTTTCTTAATATGCACTGCGTTCATGTACAGTTCTATTTGTTCCTTGAGGTTGTCTATTGTTTGCTGTTACTTGTTCAGTCTGTGATGCGCATCCATGATCATTAGTCTTACCATTTTGCATCCATTCTGATGTGCTATCTTCCATCCAGCTATGCTCTTTATTGGGAGTTTATACCTGACGCTGGTGAGTAGGGTATGCTGTCTTAGGCTTTCATGTAGAAAAAATAACTATTCTTTGGTGGAGGTTTGCCTGCACGCATATTTCTTCCATTTGCGTGCTTTCTGAAGCGTTTGACACCCTTATGTGGTAGCAATGGAGGTGAATATGTGTTTAAATCTTTCCAACAACTGCATAAATAAACTACTGACAAATATAACCTTCAAGTTCGAATTTTTCCCTCTTCTTCAAGTTGGGTTCTCCTTCAGAAAACAGTAGTAAATGTGCATACATCAACCATGCTTGTTTAAGTGTCATTTCTCCTCTATAAAAAGCTTCTTGGGAGGACAACCCCAGAGGAATTTTTGGAGACAATCTTGCTTTATATCAATTCCAAATTCTCAGTATGGCATGTCTAAAAAAATTATTTTTAAAATCAATATTAACTTTCACTTTGTCATACCACAAAGATCCATGTGATCCAAATCTTAAATCACGTCCTCCTAATTCCAAGAACCTCTTATTTTTTTAAATCACCCACTGTTTCATCCATACCAAACAACAAGCATCAAAGTAATCAGCACGGAAATCAAGATCCTCATGAACCTCTGTCCCTGGTCAGGGTCTGGAGCAATCAGACCAACCAAGGACCAACTAATGGTGGACCACCTTGAGGATCCCTGGATACTGGACTCCTTCAGCAGGGAACATTGGGTAGAAGAAAGGAAAATGAGTTTTATCACACAGAATCTGAGAAACAAGACTATAAAGAAAACTGTAACTGTAACTGAACTGTAAACTAAACAGAAAAGAAAGAAGGTGGGATTTATTTGACAACTATAACATCCAACATTTAAGATGACAATTCTGTCCCTAATGAAGGGAGAGTTCCACTCCTTGCAATGAAGGTTTCCCCACTCAGCCTTTGTTTCATCCATTGCTTCCCTTCCCATTTACTTCTGGAGTGGAGAATTTTCCAATCACCAGGAACTAGAATGTCCACCAGTTTGGAGTGCACCATGTTGGGAATATGCCTGCTCTAATTCTTCCTCCCAATGGATAGCCTGAACCAGTAAACACTCGCCTGTGGGATTTTGTAGGTGCCTAACATGGCTGAAATCTGGATGGAGATGCCAGTCTCAGCCCCTTTGAGAACGGCCACTGTGTTTCTCTGCCTTCCAGACCTGTAATTAGGAACATTGGCTTCCCCATCAGAAAGCAGGTCCAGCAAAGCATCTGAAGTCTTTTCTGCCCTCAAATAATTTTCATAGATATTGTAATCCAGGGTGATGTTGGGTAAGAGATTGGAATCCTGGTTTATCTCATCAATGCTAAAAAGAAAGGACAGCATTTTCTGGTATTCTGTCCATACTGGAAGTAAACATGTACAGGTAGTCCTCACTTAACAACCATTTGTTTAGTGACTGTTTGAAGTTACAATGATGCTGAACAAAGGGACTTACAACCAGTCGTCACACTTACAACCGTCGCAGCACCTCCACGGTCACGTGATCGCTGTTGGGGTTCTGAAATGTTAGTAACAGAAGATCCCACGCAACGATCAGCCAGTTTTGGTGGTTTATTTAGCAGAGTAAAAGTGTTCAAACTTGCACAAAGGCATGACTAAGTTCAGTTCAAAACAAACACTCTTTACATATTAATAAAGAGAAATAAAGGTAGCTTACAATGTAGGTTTCCTGCATGGAGGTAAAGAAGCCACGAGGCGGAGGGAGGATTCCCTCACGCCTCGTGCTAGGCCATGAGGCGAAGAAGGAAGGAGGAAGTGAGGGAAACAGGGACCAAAAAGGCGGGATCCAAGCCCCTCCGACACAGAGCAAAAGAGCTAGGCTGCAGCAGAACTGTCTCTCCCTTTGTGCTTGGGCGAGACAGGCTTGGTTGAAACTGGAATTTCCAACAATCGCAATCTGGGCATTTGGCAACCAGCTTGCAATTATGACGGTTGCAGCAACCCAGAGTCATGTGGTTGCCATTTGTGACCTTTCCAGCCAGCTTCTGGCAAGCAAATTCAATGGGCAACCATGTGATTCACTTAACAACTGCATGATTTGCTTAACAGCTGCGGTGATTTGTTTAAGGACCATTGCAAAAAACGTCGTAAAATTGGGCGTGACTCAGCAACCACGCCCCCTTAACAACAAATTTTCCAATCCCTATTGTGGTCATTAAGCGAGGACTACCCCCATTAGAACATAATGAATGAAAAGAACATTTTATTTAAATTCTATTTACAAAAAACACTTCTAATCCACCCAAACCCAGGAGTTCCTAAAAATTTTAGCATAAACATAATAAAAACAATAAACGACATAAATAAAAATTATTAATTCTATTTTAAAAGCAGCATCTCAGTTTGTGAGAGAAACCGAACAGCTTTGCAGGTTTTGAGTGTTTGATGACATATTTTACTAAGGATTTTGATTACAGTAGTAAAAATTCATACAAACTAAACTTAAAGACAGAGAAAAGAATAGTAAGAAAGAATAAAAAGACCTTCCTTGATGCTCTCAGCCTGGACGACGCCAGAGAACCTTCCCACCGCCTGCAACCTCTCGGCTTCCATCTTCATCCTTGCCTGGTCCCCCAAAGATGACACCCCCATATCAAAATCTGCCAGATCGCGCCTGTGGCGGTAGAAGGGGCCTGACGATGCTGGAATTTTCCTAATGTGACATGGTGAGCATCTCCTTCCAATAAAGAATGCCAGAAATACTGCATTAAGCCACAATGTGCTCACTTGGGGGCTTAACACGTTTCAACTGTCTCCATTGTGGTTTATTCACTATAGCATGCTTGCATGACCCCATCATTGGCTGAAGATGGGTTTAAATCTTGGTTTCCCTAATTCTTACCTATTTTCTCAGTACAGGACAGAGCAGACCTAAAGGGATGTCTGTAGATACGTAAATGAAATATTTGCAATAAAACTGAGAGAGGGGAATACAGCAGACTTTTGCTCCAGCTTTCAAGGAAATTAAATGAAAGCATTTAAAAGTGGCCTTAAAGCACATCTTCCCAGGCTAATCGTTTCCTCTGTGGTCTCCCTGGGTCTAAACGTAGACTTTTCTTCTTGTATTTTATATACCATCACACAATACATTATAACGGTACTAGATAAATAGGCATAATAACGATGATCTGGAATTGCTGTTCTCAAAGGGCCATTCAGCTCCCCCAAATGATCCTTTAGGGCAGGATTCCTCAACCTTGGCAACTTTAAGATGGCATAATAACGATGATCTGGAATTGCTGTTCTCAAAGGGCCATTCAGCTCCCCCAAATGATCCTTTAGGGCAGGATTCCTCAACCTTGGCAAGTTGAAGATGTGTGGACTTCAACTCCCAGAATTCCCCAGCCAGCTTTAGGGAGCTGCTGGCGATGAGAGGCTGCAATAAAAAAGCTCAGCCTCGTTTTCTGAGCTCGGGGAGGGCCACATCTGAACCCCCAGCCCTGATTCGGTTCCCCCGTATCTATTTCCCCAGCCAGCATTTCCATTCCCAGCCTTGGTGC